GGACTCGTTGTTCTGTCCAGGCTCGTGAAAGTCTTTCCAACGGGCCCAACACTCGGCAACAAGCTTCTAAAAGTTCTCGAACCTCTTCAAGACGAGAGCAGTTCGCGTCCAGACATTCGAGCATCAGCGAACGCTTACGGGATGATGCTGTTGAAGGCACGAGACGATGGGAAGTGGGTTGAGGAAAACGAGGCCGACGTCAAGGCCCGGGCAGAGAAGGAAAAGGAAGCCGCAAAGGAGAGAAAAAAGAAGATCGAGCAGTCTTTCCAGGAATTGGAACGAGACAATCAGAAAATCACCGAACAAATCGGAACCGATGATCGTCGCGATCGAGATCGAGATCGACCGCGGGGCAGTACCAGGGACCAATATAGTTCGAGACAAACAAGTGGTGGAGGAGGAAGAGACGACTATTCGAGAACAGAAAACGGCAGAGATCGTCGCAGTGATGATCGGCGAGGGGATGATCGTCGTTCCGGAGGTAGAGACGAAGACTGGAAAAAGAGAGAGAGAGAAGACGACAGCAACAAGAGAGACGATCGGGGTAGAGGAGGAGGAAGAAGAAGCAGTGGAGGAGATGAAGACATAAGACGCGGTGGCACTAGGGAGGCCGGGGAGGGTCCTCGGGGACGAGATAACAACGAAGCGAGGTGGAGACGCGATCGCGACGCACCTCCCCAAAGGAACAATAGCAAGCGGGGCCGGTCTTCTACTTCCCCTGAAAACGACCGCGACACAGATCGGTCGGGTCCCAACCCGAAGAGAGCTCGCACGGACGACTACAACAGCAACAATTATCCGTCACGACGGTCTGGTCCTACACGCAGCAGAAGCCCGCCGCCGTCGAGATCTACACGAACCTCACGAAGAGGAAACGAAAGAAGATAAAAAGAATGACACGAACTACACAATTTGAAAAATATAGAAACCAATATGTTAAAAATTTGTAATCCGTAAGTGGATGCTTCCCTTTGGTTACGATCTCTAGTGCATTTTGAATCGTTTCAAGTTGTTTCTTGAGTGTGCCTTCTCATCGAAGATCGTTGCCACCTGTGGTAGTTGTGGTCTTTGATCTTGTTTAAATCCAAAAAGATATGCAAGTCTTGCTGTAATTTTGGTTTTATTTCCTGTTGGGTTGTCCCGTATGCTCTTGATAATTCATTCCTTTCATAACCCTGGTTGTATAGCGCACACTGAATATTGAAGAGTTGATGCTGCTTCAATCAATACAGATCTTCACTTGACTGCAGATGTCTCACTTCTTCAACGGATTTATTTGTGCGCCGGTGTTTGAGATCATGCCCATGAAAGAAGATTTCCACCATGACTCTGAAGATAGAGATGCCTTCTCTTTTAATAAACCAAATCATTCATCTTTTTGCACCCTATTCATCTTTTTATGCCCTCAGCTGCTGTTCAGGTGAAATGCCACTTACTGACAATCTGATGTTCAAAATAGAAGGCTTGCTCTTCATCAGCTTCAAATTCCTGTGGATTGAGTTGTAAACCTGCATGGCAATGACCAAAGATTCCTGCCATGATTGTCAAGAAAAATGCGTTCCTGCCTTTTTCAAGAMCAGAAGCATTCTTCTTTGGCTCCTTCTCCTAGATTTCATCTAATGCTTGCTCTTTGTCAGCTCCAATGTTGGCCATTCTGTTAACTTGAAGCAATGGTACTTCTACTACTAGTAGTAGTGCCAATTCAGCCTTGTACTGGTGCTCTTCTCTTTTACACTTTTTCCAAACTTCTTGGGGAGGTCAGACCAAAAAGAAGCTGTTTTGTGGATGACTGGGAAGACCTTTAAGCTTGCTAGTCATGCTTTGGGCCATATCTAAGTGGATTTTTCCATGCCAGCACCAGATACCCTGAATGTATCTGGTGTACCAAAGTCCTAGTAGTAGCAACAACAAATGAAGTAGGCCGTGCACATGTTTGGTGCAGGCATGAAGTAGGTGTATTTGGTTGGGACAGGCATGAGTTGTTAGAGGGAGCATTTTTTTGTGGTGGAAAAACTTTGGCAGTGTATGACAAAACAAAAAAAGAAAATKCCATAACACCATGATGAGATCTGTGACGATGAACATACTAGTACTAGTAGTAATAGTAGGAGCGAGGAACAAGAAGAAGAACAACAATGAAAGATTTTTTTGAGGCCATGTGTTGATTTTGTGTGCTTTCAACCGGCCTTTGCAAAAAAGTCACCACTCAGCACTTGATGTGCCAAAAAAATAGATKAGAAAAAAAGMAACAAGAAGAGCTGACTAGTTTGATCAATCATAGTACTAGTTGAATGTGGGAGGTTGAAAATGAGTACTCGTGTTTGGTACAGTAAGGTAAGTACATACGTACGGTACGAGTAGATGAAGAAATTAGAAATTCAGTAGAATGTACGGCACGATGTGCCTTGCCTCGTAAAAACCTTCGAGGTTCCTTTTTTCTTCGAACTCGTCACGTCCACCAAAAGAATCTTCATTCTATGCGGKTTTTTTTGAGTTTCGACGAGTCAATCGAAAACCAATCAAGAATAACATTCCATCATTCCAGGAAATTCCTCAGCCATACTCGAGATAAAAAAAAACGTACAACAGAGAGCACTCCATCTACACATAGCAATGAGAGATCGACAGGAAGACAAGAATGACTCGAGCATCAACGCTCTGGCCTTGAGTAGACAAGCCCGGAAGCTATGGCTGCAGAGTGCAACGTCGCTGGAAGATTTGGACCGCGTAGAAGATCTCTACCGGAGGGCCCTGAATTCCAAGCGGAAAGTCGCTGGGAAGCATGCGGCAGAGGCTGCAACGGGGGGCAAGAAGCGGAAGCGATCGTCCGACGGAAAGAAAATGGTCGCCGCGCTGTCTCCAGAAGAATATCGAAAGGCGGGGGAGCGGCTCTCCCTCTTGTACATACAATCTGGGCGACCGTATAAAGCGACGATGGGATTGAAGTATCTTGGTTTCGAATGTCGCCTGTCCGAGCGCATACTGAACTACCCACTGAAACTACCCGAAATCAAGAACACGGAGAGAAACACCACAGGCAAAAAGAATGGTAGGGACAGCAGCAACGTGAAGTCGATGCCAGAACCGCCCTGTTGTGTGGTGGACGACTTTTTGTCACAGTCAGAACTCAATCATTTGCGCAAGGTATTTGGAGACGTGTCTTCATCGTATTGGTCTTCCCATAATTACATAATCGACGAAGAACCCCCGGCGCCATACTTTTCGTACGTGATCGATCTGAGGCAACCAGGAACGCAGACAAGCGGGGCGAAGAAAGGATTTTTGAGGTCGGTCATCGACAAGATATTGACCTGTGGACCGGTGTCTGAAAAATTCCAGCACCTCCGCCGGGACGCCAGGTACGTCGAACTTTGGGCCCACAATCGCCCCCACGCATCCGGTCACCAGCTCCACTTCGATTCCGATGACGAGGGACGCAGCCGGCAGCAGGAGTTTCCGAAACACCCAATTGCGAGCACCGTGCTGAATCTTTCTTCTCACTCGAGGGTGGGCGGACCAACGCTGGTAACGAYCCAGCGGCTGAGAAACCCTACGACGACGAACCTGAGCTCGGTGAAGGGCTGGCTTGTCCCTTCGAAACCAGCAAGGCTCGTCTGTTTCGATGGATCTGTGCTGCATGGGGTGATCCCCGGAAAGGGCACGATTCCGCCACCAATGACTGCAACGGATGACAACCACGGCGAAGATGACAGGGACGGTAGYGGCTCTCGAAGCTATCCACCGCGGGAGCACCGTCCCCGACGTGTCACGTTGATGATGGCCTTCTGGAAGCACATAAAGGTGAGAAAGGGTTCAAAGCCGGGCTCTGCGAGACCCTGGCCAAAGAAAACTGTGTCCTGCGCAGATGTGGCTGCGGCACCGCAGACGCCCTCGGACTTGTCCTCGACACTACCAAGTTGGGCGGTCGAACTGGATCGAACGGACATCGCTGTATCAGCGATTTCGTCGTCGAAGCGACGGAAGGACGAAACTAGCCGCAAGGTCATACCGGTTCCCCGAGTGTACGAACGATTCGACGGGAACCCTGTGCCGAAATACCACATTGGCAGCGACGATTCTATGGGTGATGGCTATTACATGCCCGAATACGACCGGGTCTTTCAAGGCTTTTGAAAAAAGAAAAACAAGAGTTTCTTCGTGCACAGGCATGGGCGTCTTTCTTCGTTTGAAAACTAAGATGAGTACCCATGATACTCATTCCTACATTCATACATGCCCCTGGAATAAAACCCTCTGCTTTGTACCTCGGCGAACCAAGATGCAATGATCAAACACTCAATACTAGCTTTCAGCTTCACGTAATTGATTTTCTGGGTTGCTCATGTTTGGTTTGACGGGCATTTTTTCCGACCACCTGTACGAATAGGTTTCTTTAACTATGGAATTAAGGTCGCGTTGGTAATACTTTTACTAGTAGTAGTAGCAGCAGTAGTAGTAACAATAGTAGTAGCAATAGTAGTAGCAGTAGTAGTAGTAGCAGTAGCAGTAGCAGTAGCAGTAGCAGTAGTAGTAGCAGTAGCAGTAGCAGTAGCAGTAGCAGTAGCAGTAGCAGTAGCAGTAGCAGTAGGTTTCATTTTCTATGGAATGGAATCAACCTCGTGCAAGAAGCACCTGCCGTAGCAAAGTAACTCATACAAAAAATGGAATGAAGTAGTATGAAAGTCCCTCACAATTCAGTGCTGTAGGATTGGTGCGGAGGGTGAGGACAGAAAAGTGTAGTAGCAAATGGAACAAGAGGGGCTCACATGGAAACGGGTACTCGTACACTCAGACATAAAATTTGAAATCTAGTCAAGAGGCTGATATTTTCAAGCAGGTAGTAGGTTTCATTTACAATATACTTCAGAACATAAACGGAACGTCTGRTGAAGGAAAGGATGTTGATTGATTGAATGGTTGGTTGTTACTTTTTGACTGCAATGCAGGTCCATTGAGTATTGACACGTCCGCTTGTTGTTGCCAACAGTGCCTTGAGTAAGGACATCCTCTAGTTACGAAAGTCATCCAGTGGATCAACTAAACACTTTCGTTGCTGTGATTATGATGGCATCCCCTTCTTTTGTGGTGAACGATGTTCTGGCTGGTCAGTACGCATAGTGGCTAGGCACTACACACTTGGCAAATAGATCAGGTCGTGATTGCTTAATACTGATTGACTTTATTGAAATGGTTGGTTGGAATCCRGCACTGGTCTGTTTGAGGAGTATCTATGTTTTGTTGTCTTACCATCAGTGCCTCGAGTACGTAGGAATGCAGTGCAATGGCAGTCTCCTTGACGAGTGCTAATGCCTCTTCTTGCCATTGCCTCATTTAGTATGGAGGAATGATGTGTCTGCTTGACACCAGTGCAATGAACAGTGACGATTTTGTGGAGGAGCTTGTGCAGCGCGTGTAACCAAATTGTAACCAGAATTTTGTACCTTGTCGCGTCTGTGTTATTATCATGGAAATTTGTACTGTGTGCTTGAGAGCTTTAGCTCGAGAGCCCACAGTACAAATTTCCGTGATAACAACACCAACAAAACAAGGTACAAAATTCTGGTTACAATTTGGTTACACCAGTGACATCATTGAGATCGAGAGCTTTAGCTCAAGATTGAAGTGATGTTACTGCAAGTACTGTCTTCAGCAACAGCACCATCAACAAGCTTGAGAGCTTTGCGCTGAAAGCAGAGCTCCTCCACAGATATTTACGTCGTAACTGTTGAAGCAGCTCAACATTTTCCATGTATTCACGTGCGCTTGGTTACTGTGGCCAAAGGACGCTCACTGATACGGAGGATGAAAAAAAATCTTAATATTATGTTTTACCTTGTGAACTAGAAGAGGCACTTTATGGCCAGAACCATAGCTTTTGTTAGAAAGAATGCTCCTAGCTGCTCCAAGGGGCGGCACTTCCCTCCGAGGAGTGTTAGTGGAAGTGCAACCAGGGGTTTGTTTCACCAGAATTAAAAGTGTTGACTGAGCTTGGTTTGAAGTAAACTGGAAGAATTGACAGGAGGAGCCAAAGAAGTATCTGACACGAGAGGTTGTTTGTGTCTCTTCTTTTTGGAGTAGGCGTCAAAGTCCAGTGAATCTTGTGTGACGCTCTCCGGTGGTTGCTTACTATGAGGCATTGGGATAAAGTACTGGGTAATAGGGCGAGGAGATGCTTGATTGACACTTGCTAGAATCGTCTTCTCGTAGACTCGATGATAATATGTGAGCATGGACACTGATACGGAGGATGCTGATACAGAAGATGCTCACTGATATGATGGACGCTCAGCCATTGATAAGGAGGATGCTGATATGATGATACTGACACTCGCTGATATGATACAGGAGACACTCGCTGATACAGAGAATGCTGATACGGAGAATGCTGATATGAGTCTGATATGGAGGCTGACTGATACGATATGAGTTGCTGATACGATACAAGTTGCTGATCCGGCTCACTGATACGGAGGAAACTTTGATTTCTACTGTATTTTCTACATGAGTTTGTACTAGTTCCCACTTAATTTTCTTTTCTGTACTTAACAGTGTACCTGTTGCCTGGTTACAAGCGTTGCACAAGGGAACCAGTGTGCCTGTTTTTGTAACCATACCCTTTTTTTTGGTAACCACACTACTAGTAGTATCGTGTAAAAAATATGGGCTCTCCTTGAGGAAGAGTTTGGTTACAATTTCCGGTTACGAAAAGTCAATCCGCGTGCTTGTAACTTGTTGAGGTGCATGTATTTAAGCAAAAATAACTAGTGTTTGTTAGTGTTAGTTTTTTTTTTGTATCCGCGCAATGTTGAGCTGCTCAACGGTTACTTACTGTATTTTGAAATTTAGAAAAAGTGTCAGAGGAAAGAACAAGACGGAAGTATTCTTCTTTCGGGTAGTACTTAAATATTCTTATCAAATATAGTATTTGTTGGTCCATGAATCTATTGGTTCGAATCACATACTTATGCCTCCTACCCTTTTTTTTTTTTCGCAAGATTCTATTAGCTCCCGATGTTCAACGTGGTTTGACATTGGGCTATTCCAGTTAATCATTATTATGATCTCTGTGTTTAGAAACAAGCATAATTGGTTTTGGGTGCTCTATCTATTTGCTGTGTAGCATCAGGCAAGCGGGGGAGGAAATCGTCATTGACTCTGAGGAACTACCAGTATGAACGCAAATGTGTGGACAAAATGCGTAATAGGTTATGAGTACAATAAAACCGCGCAGTTTTTCTAGTAAAAAAAAAACAGCATGAGGGCTGTCACGCCCTCCAGACAGAGCAATTGGGGACTCTTCCACTCCACACATGTACTGGAATAACTTCATTATAATACRAAGAAGGGGATCCGGAATTCTYAGAATGATCGGCCAAGTGGTTTTTTCTTAAGAGCCCTCAGTATAACAAGGTGTGTAGAAACCTACGTACAAATTAGTACTACTAAATATTTCGATATAAAAATACTCAATGTTTTTTTTCAAAGTGAGACAGGTTCATGTTGCGAAGGCAAATGAGGTGTATTGTTCTCTCCGTAGAGCCGTGTACAATTTGTACTGACTCCGGACCTGTCACCCACCTCATTTGCCTTCCAACTGGTACGAATACCAAACCAGTACTAAGAGTCACGTTCAACTACGGATAATATACGGTAGGGTCATTGAAGATTATTGTTTTGTTATCTTTCTTAATCTGGACTCCAGATGTGAGAACTACGGTACATCCGGCAACTCTCCCCGGCAGCCATCAACAACCACCTTTACCTGTGCAAGCGGCAGCTATTATTACTGAACAGAGGCGTAATAACTAAGTTATGGCACGGTCAAGCAATGAAGTCAGTGTTAGCCTCGAYGATGATACAGCAACAATTTCCGACTTCAGAGAAGTCGACCCTGCAGAGGTTGATAGAATGCTTGCAGAGGAACTTAATGGGCTATCCTTGGACGATCGCGAGCGGGTAATGGAGGAAGTTCACGGCATATTTGACAGATCAACGATTCAACATGATGGTCTCGAAGATGCGTTGAGAGCAATGGGAAACGAACTTGATGACTATTACTTTGGGAGCGGATCCACGGCGGCAAAGATCACGGATGACAGCGACAACAATGCTTTTGACGATACATCCACATCTTCACCCATCAAATATAGTGCCTACCTAGAAGCAAGGGCCAAAAACAGTTCCTTGGTGGTGGACAGAAATTTTAGGCTTGCATTTTTGCTGTCTGCCGGTAACAATCCAAAAGAGGCGGCCTTGAAGCTGATGAAATATTTGGATTTTATTCGTGATCTTTACGAAACTTCGGATGTATTATTTCGGCCAGTATTTCTGGAAGATTTGAATTCGAGCGCAAAACAGCAGTTGGTGATGGGGTCCTATCAGATCTTGCCGGACCGTGATTCTTCCGGACGCAGAATATTTTGTTATCTTCGTGACGTATCTTTTAAATTGGCATCCTATCGAGAGATGGTAAGTTTTACCCTTTTTTGAAACCAAAGTTCTTTGCCTTTTCGAAATGTTTCTGATTGTGTATGTTTCGCTACCCATGAAAAATAGCAACAATTATACATCTACTTTCACCAACGCATCATGGAAGACGAAAAAGGAATGGTAGCCGTGGTCTTTCTACATAACTCGACTATGTTTACCGAAGGCAGCAGCACCTTCGAGTATGCTATGAAATTGTATAACATCTTACCACATAGATATAGTGCAATTCATTTGTGTATGCCGAATCGACCGTCTTACCACCTAATACGATCRGCGATCATGCTTATTGTTGGAAAGGAAAGCCGATCCCGTGTGCGATGCCATATTGGATCGCTCGTCGAGTGTCAATACAACTTGAGGCCCTTTGGGATACCTGTAGGGAGCCTACCGGCCGCTCTGGAATTGAACACGACCTACCGAAAAGGCAATATCGCTAATCACACAAAGTGGCTGCGAACTCAAAGGGCGAAGGAAATAGCTATACGAAATATATTATCCGGCAAGCAAGTCACTGTGGGTCTTTGTCAACATCCGGAGGACGTGAACTGCGATGCCAAATGTGATGCCGATCATTTTGTGGCGGAGGGAAACAAAGCTGCAGGAATGCAAGCTGTAAATATCTTCCGATTGAAATTTGTTGAGTGCCCCCTTCACGAGGATTGTTTGTTTGGGAGGGGGAGAAGCGCGATGAAACATCCCGGCAATGTTGCGATGCGCCGTTTGATCGAAGAAAAAGAAGAGCTCTATCGAGTTGCTTTGCATCGCACGAAAGCAGAAATTGCTTGGGAGGTTGTGAATACGATCAAAAACGGGGGCGGACGTTTCTTAAAGGAAACGAATCTCGGGCTTTATACATTGGTAGACGATGAAACGGCACGGAAAAAGATTTCGGTCGCCTTTCGTGACTTCAAGAGTAAAACTGTTCAGAGACGACAGCAGTCAGCCGAGCAGCAAACACGTCAATTGCAAGCTACAGCTAGGGGGAGGAAGACGTTCGCTACGACGGACACGCCTGATGTTGCAATGAGAGCAAACTTTACCAATATGAATTCGGACAGCTTTTGTTCCCCTCAAGACAACCAGTGCTTTCTAAAAAACTTTCATAAACATTTATAGCACGATGCAAATAGTAGTTATGTATTATGTACAAGCACATAAGCGTACAATGCTTGAAGAACAATGAATCAAGCAAAACAACGGAGGATGTTTGGATGCGATCACCATACCATAAACATGATATTTTTGAGAAACTTACGGCTCAATGCTACTCTAAATACCTTGTGATCCAAACGTCGAATTGATCAACTACCATTGGGGCAAGAAAAGTCTTTACTGTCTATGGTCAAGCCCAACTAAAAACAACCTAGGGGGTGCAACTTGAATGCAGCTTCTTTGGAAGAGGGACAAAGATACGACAATTCATCATTGTTTCTGCTTAATCATCAACATAGTAAAATTCTAATCATTGCAGAAATACTATCTATTCTATGGTTGTCTCAACCATGATGTAGCCATTCTGACAACTTCTACCTCTGATGAGGTGCAATGCATGGTCTAGGACCAAACCCTTTGAAAATGTGAAAGAAGTTGTTTGGAAGTAATTCTACAGAGTAAATGCAAGGTATCCTTGAAGTTATACCCCCGTGTTTCAGGGGATTAGCTGGTTACTGATCAGGAATATCGATACATGCAATGTGTGACTGCCTGCTGTGATTGCCTTATCCAATTTCCTTTATTCAGTTAACAGTAGTGTGAGTAGACACTTTAAGACTTCCCACTAGTACTTATGCCTTTAGTTGGCTAAACATGTGGATTCAGCATAAACTAAAATGAATCCTCTGATGTCGCTGGCGGAGGAGCACCATGGAAACAGGGACTGAGACAGTGAGGAGGTGGAAAGAAGAAAAACATTAGACAAGCCACAAAATCAGCCTTCAAAGGCAGATTTGACAAGCTGAAGTGATTCATATTCAATATTGGACCAAAACAAGCTACCAAATACATGAAAGCAAAGAACAAAACAGTACAGTGGTGTGCTGGAAGAAAATACAGCACTGATGTAGTACTGAGACCATCAACAACATAGTACAGTGCACAAGGGACATTATGACAGCCAATACTCCAGCAATGATGACCGGCAATAACTAGTAGCAAGGAAATTACAATATGACGAGGACATGAAAACAATGTACAGTGTAATCCATGGGCAATGCACAGACTCCATGATTCAATGTATCAAAATGGATACAGTTATGCAACTATACACCTTTGGTTGGACACCACTGGACTCCTCACCATTCTAAAGAAGGTATGCTACAAATATGAGGCCCAATGGTTCCTACAACTTGCATTTGTAAGAGCCCCAATGACATTAATGAGAACTAACCATGGGGACCTGTAGACTGACACTGAATGGTATGAACAATATGGAAATATGCAAACAGCCCTAATCACATGTGGTGCCAACTTCAGGCTCCCTGGGGTAAAGAAATGTGTACTGCAGGAAGATCATGATGAAGCTAAGACAGAAGACCAAACACCACAAGCAGCTGCTAAAGCACAACAGGAGGTTGTACATTGAAAACAGTAACCAAAACAGATATGGTCAACTCAAGAACAACTGTTTGGGGAACAACTGTTTGATGGGCCAGGACAATTATCCCACAACGCTAATCAAGGCACAAAACTTACTTGTTAACTACTATAAACATGATAACAGGCTAAACAACTGGCAAGCACCTGCCTTGGATGGTGTTGCATTTGCACAGGAAAAGAGCGTGTCTAATTCAAGAAGTAACAAGAGAAAATCTTTCCCCAAAGACCAATCTATGGATTGAACATGATGATATTGATAGTACCGAATGGTATGGTTTTGGAATACTTTTGTTCTATTTGAACATTATTTGCAAAAAAAACTGTCAAGTATAGTGTTATCCCTAACTCTAGGAAAATGCCAAATATGGAATATTTTGTGTGTGTTTTGAACAGCCATGTGCTACTACAAAGTACCAGTTAATCGGTAATAAAATTAAACCTAGAATTAACGATTTTTGGCCACTTCACTACTGTAACTTTGGCTGACAAGTTCTAAGCCACTAGAGCATCCTTTGGCTTCCCAATGACCTGGATATTTAAGTAATTGTATCAACTTGGTCTGGGTGCTTAGTCTGGTGGTCTAAAGAAGTTGTTTTTTGATAGAGTTCTGGCCTATTTTCTAACCAGTAGCCACCAGTCTCCACTGGCCAAATTTGGCCATACCAGCTGTTAATGGAGAACCGGCTCCCCCCTGTCCCTAATCGTGTAACAATGAGACACAGCACTCTTCTTAACACTAGTATGACCGAGCATATCCCCAAAGGGGATCTCATTACTACTAGAGGCCTTTCCGGATGTGTTGTGTTTAGCTTATTTTACCTTATTACTAGGCTGTTTGTGGTGGAAAAAGTGACCGAAAACTCCTAGATCTGTGTAGCAGCCAGTAGGAACCTGTATAAAATACCTGGGCTTCAAAATTAACCATGATTTTACTACTAGTAATAAWTTTTTTGCCTGGAGTAAAGTTACTTTTCTCCAAGTAGTAGGATTCAGTAGGTTTTTTACGGTTAACACATTTTATTACCAATTAACTCATACAGTGCTGTAGGTACCGGCGTACAGAAGGGGATTATAATTTAGAGGGGTTCGCAACTTTTTGCAGTGATATGCAGTAAAAATGAAATTGAAAAAAATCCCGGAAGTTTTTCTATTTGGTGCCGAACATGGAATATGAGTTTCGACGCGATGCACACCCCTCTAAATTATGACCCCTGCCGTTCAGTACAAGGTAAAACTTTTCTTTGATTGGGAAAAGAGAACCTTCATGTCTTAGGGAGGTTCTCCCTAATGAGGTCCTGAACAATCGTAATAGTACGTAGAGTACGAGGTAGGAAGGCGAATGTGTGGGTGACAGGTCCGGAGTCAGTACAAATTTTACACAGCTCTACGGAGGGAACAATACACCTCATTTGCCTTCGCAACATGAACCTGTCTCACTTTAAAAAAAACATTAAGTATTTTCATATCGAAATATTTGGTAGTACTAATTTGTACGTAGGATTCTACACACCTTTGGGATACTGAGGGCTCTTAAGAAAAAACCACTTGGCCGATCATTCTAAGAATTCCGGATCCCCTTCTTCGAATTATAATGAAGTTATTCCAGTACATGTGTGGAGTGGAAGTGTCCCTAATAGCTCTGTCTGGAGGGTGTGACAACCCTCATGCTGGTGGTTTTTTTTTACTAGAAAAACTGTGTGGTTTTTTTGGAATTATAACCTGTCACATATTCGGTCCACACATTTGCCTTCCTACCTTGTACCATGTACTTGGTTACTGTACGAGTTACGTTCGTACTTCAATGGAGCGAAATCTGAAATGAAATACGAGGGCGAACTCGTGATAGACTCACAATGAGAACCCAATACTTGTACCAGTATTAGGGCGAGGGGTCACATATTTAAAGGGTTCCGGTCTGTAGTCCGTTCGACWCGCCAAAACTTATATTCCACGACAAAGCAAGTCATACCGTAAGAGTTACAGTACTGGAAAAGTCCCGTCCAGCGTTAGCTGTAATTCAAAGAACTTTCCATTGGTTGAAAGAAAGAAGAGAGTGTCTGTCATCGCGAAAAGAGTTGGACAAAAAATGCGTACTTCTTGAACTTTGAGTAACTTTGTCTCGTTGGACAAGAACATGAAAACTCTGACATCTTTTTTGTCTTCTCTTCTGCTAGAACATGAAAAGATACTATTTCTACGGTACGGTAAGGTCAAAATTATTTTCGGTGTCAGAATTGAGAATTGATTCGGGTCAAGGCACATCCTGACACGTACGCCGCAGAATCTCAAGATTGACTGTTTGATACGTCATTTGATCGGCTGGACAGACGAGAACACTGCCAGTTGTTGAACTTCTCAGTGCCATTGATAAAGACGATCCTTCACATTTTATTGTGCACACACGTAGGGGGGTTGTATCAGAGATTTTAATAATAGTATTCACCACAACCAAACAGTCACAATCAGAAAAAGTCTGCATTGCAAACATAATCTCGAAGGAAAAAATCATAACCATGACGCAAAAAGAGGAGACGGCCAAAAGCGACCAACAAGCGACAAACACTGCTGTGAAGACGATGGTGGAATTGGATGCAAGACTGCTGCACAGGCAGAATAAGTTAACATATGTGCCAGGTTTACTTTTGATCGTTGTCGGATTTTTCAGTGAGACAATTGGCATTTGGTTGGGCTTCGGAGTCAACCTCATGATCGTCGCATTGCAATATTTTCGCTCAGTGAAGCTACCGGAAGCCAAGCATCCTAAATGGTATTGGCAACCAATGGCGTTCTTTGTCGCTTCTCTCGCATGTGGTATTGCGCACATTTTTGACAAATTACCATACAATCAGGTTGTCGCTATTATCTTCACCGCCCAATTTGCTGCGATTGTTCTTTCTCTTATCTTCAAGGATCCTTGTGTTTATCGTCGGAACAAAGCTATTGTAGGGCCGAAAATCGCGTCAACCCCGGCGTTTATGACTTTTTGTCGCAAAATCACCTTATTCAAAGCAGTTGATTTGTTTCTTTGGTGCACTTGTCTATGGATAAGTGAGCTCTTTGTTGATGGATTCGAAGTGACGAACCAGCTAGGATACAATTTGACGACTTTTTGGATCCCATTGGTCTTGAATGTAGTGCCATTTATTCTGGAACATATTTACACCACAATGCTTCTCGTTAATATGGTAAAGGAACTGGCTAGCGATGCCTCGGAAGATGCCGTGGAAGCAAGCGCATAGGCTCGAATATAATCAGACGGCTCGATTTCAGCATCGATGCAAACCGAAACCCAGTCAAACCGAGAAATGATTGGTCGAAAAATATTCGTAAGCAATTTTTAATCAATTGCATTTGTCGACATTTAATTCTTTAATTTTATTGTTCTTATGAAAACAGCTCATAGAAAATCCAATCTACGATATTAGATCATCTGCATAGTATCCGTAAATTGATAGTGATCTTGTCGCTTGTCCTGTTCACTCTGGACTATCATCGGGCGATGTTGCTTATTGGCTAGATGGATTTTTCCTATTGTTTCGATGGTAGTAAGACCCTTTTCTTGCAAAATTAGTGTGAGCCCAAAATAGCCCAGAGAAGATGCTGCTATGCGGCTCTCACTAGTGGCTCTCTCAAGTGATGAGAAAATGAAGGAAATGTCCCATTCGTTCGGCCCTTACTGTGAGGCGAGAAGAGAGCACGATAAGCTAGTGACTGACCTCACTTTTGTGAAGGGCGCGAAGAGAGCAATCGAATATTTCTCTGGRTAGATGATGAGGATGATACTATGGGTACCGTACCGTACTTACCGGTACATACGAGTTACTGTACGGTACGAAATCGGACTGGTTATGCTGTCGTATTTAAACCCGGTTCCAGTAAGTCGCGCCGGGAATTTTCCAGCACATAAGTTCGAGTCGATTGAGTCGATTTCACGCATTGCTAGAGTATGCAAAGCTAGTCGTCGTCGACCACCCAAAATAGCATCATGCCAAGATTTTTAAACTGGTACGTACCGTACGTCCGGATACATACTGTAAGAAAACACAGACACCAAAAACACCGCAAAATTCCAGGGCCCCCTTGAAAATCCTACTCGTACGTTCACCGCACCGTACCATACCGCAGGGGTCACCCCTGCCATACTACCGGACTTACGGCAGAGTGATTTACAAGCCGAAGGAGAGTAAATGCGTCTGAAGAATGTAATCTGAAAGTTACTACGTACCGAACGTACTTCTTACGTTGCAAGTACACATCAACCAAAACGAAGGTATTTACAGTACGGAAGACCAACAACAGAATCTGTTCAGAAACGCAACCACCATGACCAAATCCAACGCCTGTGCGATATTTGCCTTCGTTCTTTTGGCATACGGCGCCCTTTCTTCGGCGTTCCAGACCGGCATGCACATGGGAAGAATTCCCTCCAAAACCACTGCCTACGGCGATTATTCTTTGATCCGCACGGCGGCAACCACCGGCGACAGCGAACAACCATTGCCACCGGTCGCTCCCAAAATACCCGACAACGTCCTATCCAACAATGCTCTGGCAGAGGAAGCGGGTTATCCAGCTATCATCCTCTCCCCGTTTCCGGACGCAGCCGATCCAGCATACGCGGCAACCGCGCCCGTCGGAGGCAACGAATTTTGTGTTTCCCGCCTGGGCGGGCCGGTCGAAAAGGAACTCACCAACGATAACCTCGTGCAGATCGTCTATAGGCGCTCGAACGTGACCGACATCGAGGTCAACACGCTCGCCTGGAAGTGCCTGGGATATAGGTTCGACGAAGAATCTTCCGAATGGACCGCCAAAGAAGTCTTTCCAAAATGGAAGGAGCGCTATCCCGAACCCCCGGACATGATCGGCATGCAGCGCATCTATACCAAGGCGATCGATGGAGAACTCATCAAAAACAACCAGCGCCTGACGGTATCGGTGCCCCTGGAGTGCAAGAACCTCCTAAAGCAAAACATGGCCCCATACGGCTTCACGGGGTACAAGGTCTCCGAGCTGACACCCAACCTCACGCGGCGTGCCCAGATCGTCAATTGGTTGCTGTACTACCGGGAGGAACTATTTGGGTATACCGTGGAAGAGCTGCGTGAGAAACGCCGGCTGAAGAAAGAAAAGGAGGCCGAGGAACAGCGCAAGCGGGAGGAACGGAACGAGGAAGAGCCGTACCGACCACCCCTAAAGGAAGTCTACTGATTGCAACACACATGCACCACTTTTCGCGAGATTGTGACTGCGACTTTTGCGGTGAATGGATATGACACGAGAGCTTTTTTCACTGACTCTGTTTCCTCAATACTTTTGTGAGGCAGCGAAGGGATACAACAATGCGAAGAAATATCATGTTGATTGAAAATTTTGCACAGATGTAATCGCTGCTTCGAAGCTAATTGAAGAAACCGAAACGAAACGAAACAAGAAAAGCTTTGTTCCACATGGTGTAAAAAAAGTAAAACAATGTAGTAGTGCGTTTGTTGTGTTGCGTGTACAGTATGCTGGAGCTTTTCGAGGAGCAATACTCCTTCGATCGGAATCGGGACAGAGATGTGATGATGGGTTGAGTCAACGAATCCAGCGTTTTTATCTCGATTCCCTGGCATCGACACAACCAAAGCTGCTTTCGTCATCGTCTTGGTCCAAAGGAATGTTTGAAATACCATGGCGCTGTTCTTGCCTCAATATAATCTCGGCATGGGATGAATTATTTATTTGTTTCGATTCCCCACGTGTACTCTGTGTATCGTTTGTGTGTCGGGCAAACACGAACAACTACTACTTCAATTATGGTGACAGTATTATACAACTCAATATATTTGATTGGATTGGCAGGTATGATCATGCTTTTACGCCGCATTCATCACATGATGCCGCAACATCATTCTCTTACAGTGTTAGCATGATGATTCTTTCCCTCCGGTATTACGTACTACAGTACAACGGACGATAGTCGTTCCTGCAACGAGTACGAATAAAGACGTACGGTACTACTGTAGTTGTCGTTCTATCAAAAGAAGCGCTGAAACCTAGGCTTGAGACATACCGGTAGTTCGAGCGTACGATTACGTGCTCATACGCGACAAGTACGAACTCGTACACAGTTCAATCTCTTCGTCCGAAACGTGCATCAAAATAGGTTATGAGTCTTTTGAATGAGCACCACAAGCACAAGAGGGGTGGATGGGAAATTTATTCCAGTACGATAGATTTTAACTTCGCCGCAACAACGGTACTGTCTGCACGCGCAACCATTGGAAAAAAGAAATGCGTCGTAAGCACAACAAAGTGGCGGAATCTGGCGGTGTGCTTTGTTGTGTGGTGTTTTTGTGCTTGCAACCAACGATCGATCGACGGACCATGGCGGAGAAAGCATTCTCGCAACTAGCAAACGAAAGCTATTMACTACGATCGCAGCACCAAGAGCACCAACAAAGACAAGACTATCATCTACGTAGTAGTCTTACAGGAACAGATAACAACAGCACCATCAATCCAAGTACCACACACGCACAATAGCAAAATGGTAAGTTGATTGGAATTTGCTCCTCGATACGCTGCTGCCAGTGAGTTGAGGGGCATTCTTTGAAGCGGAAAACACGATGCTTCGTCTCTCTGTGTCTTGGTTTTGTTCTATGCGATTGTCTTGATCCAGCTCGCTGCTCTCTGCTCTGCCCTGTCCTCACGGAGGCCCGTTTTTTGTGCCGCATGCAATTATGCAAAACCGTCCGTAACCAACAACACCATGACACCAMCAACCAAAACAACACGACAACCMCGCAAACACAAACGCAAAAACAAACACAAACACAAACACAAATCGAAACACAACCACGAAACAACAATGCAACAACCCGCGAACCGAAAATTGGAAAATCCGAACCCGTATCACCTACAATACAAACACGCAAACGCAGCGCCCGTATTTGTTGCAGGGACACGAGCGTCCCATCACGGTAGTAAAATACAACCACGACGGAGATTTATTGTTCAGCGCTTCGAAGGATCAGGTCCCCTGCATCTGGAGGGTAGAGAACGGAGAGCGCATCGGGACCTTCCACGGCCACAAGGGTACCATCTGGGACCTCGATCCGGATCGGTTTTCCAACCACCTGCTGACGGCGAGTGCCGATGCCACGGTCAAAATGTGGAGCTGCGAGACCGGGGAACTCCTGAAGACCTTTGTCCACCGGGGTCCGGTGAGAGGGGTCGCCTGGTCCGACGACAACAAGCTCTTTGCTTCCATTTCGGATCCCTTTGTGGAGCACAACGCGAAGATCTCCGTCTTTGACAGCCGGGACGGCGAGGGGATCGATGGAGAGACGATCGAACCCGTGCTGGAAATCGACGTCCCCAAGGAAAACAACAAGCGCGTGCAGATGACCAACATCTGGTGGACGTATCTCAACGAGCACCTCTTGGTGGCCTTCGACAACGGCTTGATTCGGTTGTACGATCCCAACACCGGGGACATCGAAGACGAATTCCGGGCCCACGAAAAGAAAATCAACCGGCTGCAGATGAACCGCGAAAAAACCATGTTCATCACCTCCTCGGCCGACTTTACGTCCAAGTTGTACGACGCGGTCAACCTCAAACACCTCAAGACCTACACGACCGATCGACCGGTCAACGACGCCGTCATCAGCGAAACGAAGGACCACATTTTGCTCGGGGGTGGACAGGAAGCCATGTCCGTGACGACGACCTCCGGGAAGGTCGGAAAATTCGAGACGCGTTTCTTTTGGCTGGTCTACGAGGAAGAATTCGGAACCGTAAAGGGGCACTTCGGYCCCATCAATGCCAGTAAGTTATGCGTTCTTGTATTTCTCACTGTTACACGGTGATCGTTTGGACCGAATGCGCACATCGAAGTGGAGGCACAAGGGCGGATTCGGTCGATGCAACGCTGGGTTTCGTTTTTTTTGGGTTTCGRATCTGTGCACTTGTTGTCTTTCCGTTCCATTCACCCACTCACGACATTGGYTGTTTTTGTGTACAATATGGTCGTTCTGTGGCTTTTGCSTTGCGTTCCTTTCCATCCGTTTCTGGTGTTTTCGATTCCGAACGAACCGACCCACCCGCAATCTCGTTGATGCAGTTGCCATCAACCCCAACGGACGAAACTATGCCAGTGGTGCAGAGGATGGTTACGTGCGACTCCACATGTTCGACAAATCCTACCTGGACATGAAAGACCCCGTGCCGGAAGCCGAAGAATCGTCCGTCGACGATGATGCCGATGCCGAGTGATTGCACCCCTCCGGAATTTCTACCAATCCATCGATGGGACGCAGGCGAAGGAAGGTGGAACAACATGAAAACGAATAGCAAGATTGGATACTRCTTTATTATTATTAATTATTATTACATAGATCGAGATCAAAATAGCACGGCACAATTGCTCCAGTGAATGGATGGTCGTTCGCACACAATCGGAATCGTGCGCATGCGCAGTTCCTGCTCCGCAAGGCTCTTCCGAACACGGCAATGGGTGCCCGCGCCAAACGCCGATCGTCCCCGTGGGCCGTGCCCGCTTCGGGCAAGCGCGCGCGATCCCCCAGAGCAGCGGGCCCCTTGCCTCACCGCTCGRCGAGGGCGTAGACAAAGAGGGCGTCCGCGTTGGAGTTTCCCCGGAGGACCATCACCTCCTCGTCCAGGTACAGGACGTCGACCAGCTTGATCGGGCTGAGCGAGTCCCACTGGTCCGCGCTGCTCTTGGTGGGCCCGTAGGCGATCGTTTCCACCTCGATCCGGAGGGACACCGAGGGCCGGCCCGTCCYGGAATCGACACGGGTGCCCGTCTCCAGGATCCACTCTCCGGTGACGGTGGCCTCCAGTGTGATGGGATCGTCCCCGGCGTTGTCGTTTTCGCTGTCGTTTTCGCCGGTGTTGCTGCCGAAGCGTTCYACGAATTCCGCCTTGSCGTAGTAGTAGTTTCCGCTGAGGGTCAGCTGGAGCCCCAGGTTGCGGGCCAGGTCCGATGTCGATCGTCCCAGTCCGCTGAGGCTCTTGTTGATGATCATGGTYCTMGAGCTGGTGTACTTCAATTCCCAGGTTCCCAGGATGTGCTTGGTAAGGTCCTTGGCGGACCGGACCGGGGAGGCGTTGCCRCCGGCCAGGAGGTTTCGTTGGTTTCCGTCGACCAGCAGGGCTTGGAGGTATTCCAGGATGCGGAAGCGTTCCTTGTCGGAACAATCCAAGCCCCAGGGTCGTCGTTCCCCTACGTTTACWTCTCCGTCCTCCGAGTCGCACTCCAAACTCTGCAGGTGCTCCAAGTATTCAACGAGATCTTCTCTCGCGCGGGGRTTCTTGCTTCCGGTTTCCGTTGCTGCATTCGCACTGCTGCTTTTGTTGGTGTCGGTGTTGTCTTGGGACTTGGCGCTGTCGATGTTGTCACCTGCTTCGTCGTCGTCATCGTCGTCGTCGTCGTCGTCAAATAAATCATCGATGGATCGGTAAAAGCGCTCGAATCCCTGTTCGTCCAGTGCGTCGCCGGCGTTCCCCTCTTCGTCGACGAGAGCSTTGTTGTAGAATTCTTGCAATTCTTCCACSGTTACGTCTCCGTCCTCGACAATTTCGTTGAGTTCGTCCCAGGCCTTGGCGATGTCCAGCAACCGCAAACATCCGTCCGATGCCGATGCTTCCTCCAGAAGTTCTCGAAAGACCGTCTTGGGGGGCTTGGAAAACACGGAGTATACCACTTGTTGCGTGCTTCCGCCCCCGGGGCTTCCGGAAGACAGCGAGAGCAGGGTCGGTGGCCGTGGGAGTGCTKTTTTTGTCGTGGAGTCTCCGGCTGTCCGGAGCGCATTCCTGCAGCGCCGATGAAACTGCTGGTTCCTTCGCTGCGATGCTTCCTCGCGCCCGAATCCGTTTGGCAARATWGCTCCTTCGTAGTTCTGGGAACGGAAGGATGGTATCGGCGACGAGAAGGACCGGACGAAACCGAACCTTGTGCCAATTGTTCTGCCGTCGTCGATGGTCCCGATGGCAGCCAGCAGGATCAGGAACAAGACCCTCCGCCTCGACGGTTGGTGTGGTGTCGTCATTTTGTGAGTGCCAAAACCCTTTCCTTCGTTTGGATGCAAGGCACGTGCSAGAGAAAGCGGCTTTCAGAATCGAGTTACAGAGTTAGTTTTCAGTTGGGTTGTGTTGCTTCTGAAGCAACCAATKCATTGCTTGTGATGTTACGAATACTGGACGAGTACCGGTATGTATGGTACTGTAACGACGTCGATGATGTTGTTGAAAAGATTCTCTTCGTTCATTCGTTGTTATGAGTACGGATGAGTACGTACGTACGTAGGTTTGAGTACGAGTACGAGTACTGAACTCGTTCCTTACAACATCATTCTCCTCCTGCTCTTCGTCAGTCTCGTGACTAAATTTAGAATCAGTCACGATAAAGCTGTTCTTCGTTTTTCCTTTTCTTTTTCCACAAATCTCGAACGAAGTGTATACGAAGTGTATACGAACAGACGGTATGCAATCGGACGAATCGAATGAGCCTCGGTGCGATTTTCGGAGTTCCTTTAGGTTTTTCGTCKGGTGTTTTTGGGAATGGACCAATGACGCAACACGGGACGAGACGACGCGCGACAACAGCCGTGGTTTCGCAAATCCGCGCGAGCACGCGCAAAACGTGAGGTGCGGATATTGAACCCGTGGGATCGGAACCTTGAAGTCGAAAAAGATACCGTTTTGTTCCTTCATAGAGAAACAAGATGTCAAGAAAAACACAGTTCCGATGGAAATTTCGAATTTCGATGGCTTCGGATGCATTCCCGTTCCTCTCACAAAACCCATTTGAACAACAACTCAAACCAAACATCAACAACAAAAYACAATGAAGTCCGCCATCTTTGCCTCCCTCATCGCTTCGGCCGCCGCCTTTGCCCCTGCCAACAAGGCCGCCACTTCCACCGCCATCAAGGCCTTCGAAGACGCCCTTGGATCCCAGCCTCCTCTTGGATTCTTCGATCCCTTGGGACTTGTTGAGGACGGTGACCAAGAAAAGTTCGACCGTCTCCGATACGTCGAGATCAAGCACGGACGCATTTGTATGCTTGCCTTCCTCGGACAGATCACCACCCGCTACGGAGTCCACCTTCCAGGAGACATCGACATGTCCGGTGACTCCTTCGACTCCTTCCCCAACGGATGGGCCGCCATTGCCGGACCCGACGCCATCCCTTCSGCYGGACTTGCCCAGATTGTTGCCTTTGTTGCCGCCCTTGAACTCGGTGTCATGAAGGACATTGAGGGAACCGGAAACGAGTTCGTTGGTGACTTCCGCAACGGATCCCTCGACTTTGGATGGGACACCTTCGATGAGGAGACCCAGCTCTCCAAGCGTGCCATTGAGCTCAACAACGGACGTGCCGCCATGATGGGARTTCTCGGACTCATGGTCCACGAACAGCTCGGAGGATCCGTCCCAATCGTTGGAGAACTCTAAGCAACCGAACGTGTTTTCGTTTCATGCCGTYTTGAGTTGTTCGCTCGGTCATTCGCGTGCATTGCCTGCCGTGTGGCGTGACGTGACGTGACGCGACGTGACGCGACGCGGGTGCCGATCTCGAGAACAAACCAACCCGTCGAGAGGGTTTGTTTTGCACGATTGCTAGTTTGCTTGTAGCCATTTATCTGGCCATAGCCATCTAGCAACTGCTTGCTTCCGGTCGAGTAATACGATCTAGAATAAATRCATTAGACTTTCGCAGTTACTCCCGAAACAACGTCTTGACTTTCATTGATTTTAAGTACGGTAAGCTCKTTTTGTACTCCTTGTGTATGCTACTTTGATCCTTTCTATTGGTGCCATAAGGTAAGTCGCGGGTGCGGAAAATGTGAGGGGAGAGATGTTGATTATGGTTTCTTTAATCATTACTGTGATTTATCTATGTTTATGCATTCTAATAGTTTTGTTCGTTCCTCSAGTGAAGCGCCCGTCGCTTCCCTTTCAGTTATGGATACGATCCCCGCAAACCTCGTCGACCACGTTCGATTTCTTCCACGCATTCGGTCTGGCACTTGATTTCTACCGTGTAGCACACGACCGGTACCTCGGGTGAGATTTCCTCCGGGTGGCAGCACTTGGGGACCGTGGCGTTGTCGTTGCCCTSTCCGGGGACCAAGATCCCATGAGWGGCKTCGTCGACGACACAGATCTCGACAAAGGCGATCGGTTTCAACACCTCGCAGGTCAGCTCGATCGTGTCGTACCTCTGGCTCCCGACGTCCCTCGATTCGTAGCACTTTTGATCAAAGATGCTGGTTCGGAACGAGTAGAAAATACTGTCGACGCTTTCTCGCTTGGTGCCGGACGTCCAGGATTGGTGAAGCTCCACGGTGACCGTCGATTTGTCCTGMTTCACAATCTTGATTGCGTTCTCGAGCGGTATATCGGTGATCCCGTTTTTCTTGATGAGGGTGACGTCTCCGGGGCAGGACGYCTCGTCCTCTGTAAACGTGGGCGCATCGGTCGGACTGCTTGTGGTTGGAGACTCGGTGGCCTTGGCTGTGGGTGGCTCCGTCGGTGAAGCGGTCGGCGAAGCGGTTGGAGACTCGGTTGCCCCAACAGTGGGCAGTGGGGTTGGAGATTTGGTGGGACTTGTGGTGGGTGAAGTTGTCGGCAAAGCCGTAGGGCCTTCGCTTTCGAGAATCGTGGGAAATACCGTGGGAGCTACCGTATCGAGTGACGTGGGAGATGCCGTATCAAACGATGTTGTAGATGCGGTGGGAAAGTCCGAGTTCTCAAATTTAGTTGGAAATGCCGTATCGAACGACGTCGGCGATTCGGTTGGCGATAGGGTTGTAGGCAAGTCCACAGCAGCTGTAGGAGAGYTACTGGGCGATGTTGTTGGGCCTGAAGTTGGACCAGCGGTAGGAGATGTCGTGGGGCTGACAGTAGGGGGAACCGTAGGCCTAGAAGATGGACCAGCTGTAGGAGATACCGTGGGAGATACCGTGGGACTAGCGGTAGGGTTTGCCGTAGGGCTAGGCGTTGGTGAGGTCGTTGGTTCAGCGGTTGGAACGGGTGTTGGCGAAGCCGTCGGTGACGGGGGGGATGTCAAACACTCTCCATCGTTGATGATTTCCTCCGACGCTCCAGCAAAAAGGAAGTTTCCTCCTGTATACTTCTTGCAGGTCTTTCTCGGAGATGGTCCGTCGTACTCAGGTTGTTCCACTGGACAGTAATGGTCGTAGGTAAACTCCCAGCAATCAGTGTCAATGAAAGTAAAAGTAACAGATCTTGATTTTTGAAGATCGGTCAAAMTATTCGGATCCGTCGGGTTGTCATCTCCGGTCCCATCCGTAGAGGAATGGAAGACCGTTCGAACACCTGMATTGCAGGGCAGTTGGGATCCATCTTCACAACTCAATTTGACTTCCGACTGGGCCTCGTTGGGCCAGAGTTGGAATGCCCGAGCTTGKTTTGTGTCTATGATCAATTTCTCCTTTATAACCGGYTTGTTTATCTTATCWTTTCCCCGTTCATCCAAATCGTAGACTGTCCACGAAAACTTTTCTACCGTTGTCAACTCATTCGTTTCCGTATCTACGAAGCACATTCGAAAATTTCCCTCTCCTGATTTCGGTTTTCCTTCAACTGTTTGAAGATTAATGTTAGCAAACTTGCCGCCTTCTTTCTTCCCGTTCATTTSGTATGGCGAACCCCGCTTTCTGTCTATCCAGACTTGAGCTATATCTGCATAGTCGCCGTCAACAACAGTAACGACTAGACTTACAGGACGGTCCCGGACAGTACCGATATCTGTATGTCATGAAGATATTGGAAGGATAAAAAATATCAGATTGTGTGCGCATCAGAAAAAGAAAGAGTCGGAGTTGTGAGAGTCMCTGCTTCGCGCAGAACAGTTTGATTGGTGTTCAAAAAAAGAATCGAAGACTTTAATCGCATGCTTTCAATCGTCTTACTTTCGTATCGAAGTTGACCTCCAATTTTGTGCAAACTATTTTCTCTCACAACGGAATCCATGATATCTAGCTTGGTGGTTGTTTTATYGCCATAGACACCCCCCAAGCAACCTTGGTCTGCATTGACGAAACTTGTGCCAAAAAATGTAGATGACAAAGCGAGAACGGCAGCAAAAAGTTGCATGGTTTTTGATTATTTTAATCGGTAGTTTTTCTTTCTTTGAATGATAGTGTTTTTGGAATTTATGAACAGATCAGAATAACATTTATTTTTCCTTACAGTAAGTGATTGAAGAGTGTTTTTTGTACATTTGAAAGCACAGTTCTACGTACGAAAGATTCTTAATAGCTATGAAATTCGTACCTACAAGGGATAACGTAATTTTACGATTAGAGGTAGGAATCGTGGTTCCGATACGGAAAAAAAAGATGTTGATTAAATTTTTAAGAGGTATGGGCCTGTCCCTTTAAGTCCGATTTAAACGTACAATGGTCATAAAAGAAAAGCCTAGAATCAAAAAGAAAGAAATGAATAAAATTCAATTCAGCTTTTGACTGCATAAGCTCAATGTAGGCTTATATGAAATACCTTCATGCGGGAGGACTTGTAGAAAACAGGAAATCCTTTCTGTTCTAATCTTCTAAATCTGGGAAATTCCTTAACATGTAATCGTAAATAATAATCGTAAACTGCCTGTAATATCCAATTCTAGAAGCGGAATGAAACACATCTGTGGTTCGCATTGTATTTGCAACAAGAGTTCAATACTTTTTGCTTCACATCCCAATTCTTGTTCAATCTGAAAACCCAACGTCAGTGTTGCTGGAAAACGATAATAAYAGCCCCACTAAAGACCTCTTTCTTTCTCGTATCGAAACGGCGTCAGTTCTCTTCACCATAATARTATGATTGATACGAATGTCGTACCGTCATCGCGCTGTCAAACAAAGCGCCGAAAGGGGCATCATTTCGAATTTTATCAGCTTGGTCCTGTTGTGACTGATGCCTCGTTTTTGTATTTTGTATCGTTTTGTAGCAGGTTCGAGTGCCAGGTACATGTCCAATAACCACCGCAATCGATTCGAAGGTCGCAATACCATCGCATCGCTAAATGAATCTTCAAATTATTCATYGTTCAGTCTTGATCGAGAAACTCTACAGAKTCYAAGGATGCTTTATGTTATCCCTATCTCCATTTTGCAACCACAATCATGCTGCTAGAAGWGCGGGTCCTCTTTCATCCACTGGAGCGCTCMGGCTACATAACGCAGCCTAGTAGAGTGGCTCGATAGCTGCTTTTGTCTTGCTAYTATATTTGTGTGAAACAGGATTAAATTGAGATTTGCGATCAAAGTTAGAATATTCGAAGTGGTGCAGAGTGTGAACACAGAGTCGTCCTCACCATCGTCGTTTTCGAGATAGGACAAGAAATTTTTGTTTTGAACTGKTGACTTTTGACTTTCCCCTCTATTCATATGTACGATAATATGGTACGTACATACGTACACATATTGAATTACAGTGCCGTGTACGAGTTACGAGTATGGTACATGCCCTGTGCCCTGACTGAGCCCTGACCCTTCCCTCGTACTAGTACTACGTACGGTAATTTCGTGMTCCCACTAAGGATACGATACGTACGTAGTGGGAATATGCACTCATCGGTAGATGCTAGATGCAAAATCAAAACATACGGTACCGTACGGTATGAATCCTGTTTCCCGCGGCTCGCAAGCGAAGCACGTACGTGTTCCGTGTTGAATTGAATCACTACAATACCAGTGTGCTAGGTAGTGCAGTAATTACTTACTCTTTCTCGTATCTTTGTTACAGTACAAGAAGTTTACTTCGTACTACAGAGGTTAGAGGTGCACTATTTTCTTCATTCATTTCCGCTCAACWCTGTCGACACGGCAGCATCAATCAATACAGAGACTAATTCGCCTGTCGTTACAAACATACCAGTTCGCAAAGTATCATCTCGACATGAAGTGCGTTTTGAATGCCCGATCCTCTRCCTTGCTGGCATTAATTTCTCTTGTTGTTTTCGCGATCACATCTCAGGCTTTCACTGGCACAACGCGAATCAATGGTTTTCGTCGTGGGTACAAAACACCACTGTCCCCCGTTGGTTCTATTGCCACCAGCAATGATTCTTCGTCGACCAATTTAATGGCACGAAAAGACGTGAGCAATGCCGAAAGAGGCAGTGATAAAGTCAACAATCTCATGGGCCTCGACAGAGGCAAGTATCTGTGGGTCATTGTGATCGCACTCAACATCTGGTTCTTTTCGGTCCCTACAGAATTTCGACGAACCAGAATCTGCAACGAGGCGGATAGTGCTGCGTATCCTACCAGGTGTATGACAAGCGAACAATTCACTAAGGGGATTTCTGATTACTACAAAAACGGTACGAAATTGTTGTCACTCCGCGGGGCAGAGGCATGAACCAGCAGAACAACCCCCACGACSTATGGATCTGTGACAGTTTGTATCATTTTCGTATTAACATTTTAGATGCTCTTTCCCTCGTTGTTCGATGTTTTCACTMTTTCTCGGATTGTTAGGTGGTGGGATCAAGTTTGATTTTTCGATTGCAGGAAAGGAATAAGGTGCCGTGGCTTGCAGCTCCATCTGGTTTTCTGTCTGAAGAGCAATCGATCTTTTCGCTTCACAAATAGTAGCTGTAACTTCTTTTGGTGATCAAACTAATGTTCACTACTCCGTCATTTCAAAGTGCAAAATACAAATCGCACCTAAATAAGTCCGGAATACTACCTCAGATTAAACCTCTACAGCAGGTGTGGCTGCTAAGGATGAGAATCTGTGTATTTCTCCGTTGAAGAAGATCCACAAGCCACAACAATGAATCATAAAATCATGATACAATAGTGGCATTTCGAAGGCATACATTGGGCAAAATGGAAAGGCTATTGCTCCAACGGTCAACTAAGAATCAAGAATCAAATTAAAATAGAAGCGTCCGACTTGCCATAAACTAAACTTTTTGAATTCATAATTACCAGTTATCTTGCATATGTTTCAATATCTGCGTCTGGAAACAGTCGCTTGATGAAGATAGCGCAATCGTCATCTGATCGCAAAATCACCCTGCACGAGGTCTTGAGAGACTTAACTTCTTCATTGCGTAGCAAATCGCATTGCATCGATGTGCATTGCAAAGCACTGTTTCGGTAGATCACAACAAATTAATTCTCTTCGACATCCCAAATACATACATGYCATCGTTATACTTTTCGATATGCTCGCACCTTCGGACATCCAAAGGCATTATAAARCCGTCGCSCTAAGGGSCTCTCCCATTKGTCCCTTATCCTCCTCTTCCTCTTCATCCGGCGTCAGAATGTCGAATATGTTGAAGACAAAATTGTAAGCACTCGTTGTCACGTTCAATACCATCGAGGGCGTTACCTGCCTGTTCAATGCGTACGTCACAAGGGTCGAAAGGACGAATTGTGGAATGTCCTCCAGGATCATCTCAAGAAACAAAATCTGGTTGGCCCGTTTGTAGAGATGCCGCATTAAGCGCTCRAAACCGCTCATCTCGATCTTTGCATCGTCGTCTGACTTCACCTTCCTTTTGGGGGCAAACCCCTTGCAGAGGAGCGTGAAGGTCGTGAAACCTAACATGACACACGCGACGATGAAGAAGATAAAAGTTGTAAGCTGATATTTCTCGACGATTTCTGCGTCCATGCTACCGATCGACTTGTAAAACATGTAGTCGCCGTAGACATCGGCAGCGGAGGAGGAGAACAGAGAAGGTCTTGAGCAGGGGGACCCATGTTTTGCGAAATTCTTTGAGAAATGGCGCCATGTTGAGCGGAATGGAATTTTGTTGTATTGAAAAATGACTCGAATCGCGACACGGTCAAGGCGATGTGGACGAATGCGATGYCGCTTGGATAGTGCCCGTCGTACCGTACTACCACTAGCACGACGACTTGTTTTCGATCCTTTCATCAGCTAGCTTGTTCTGCTCAATTTTGAAGTCTACGGTACAGTGGGGTACAAGTATTAATAGCAGAGCACAAGCAAAGTCGTACGAGGTACCTAGTACAAATAGTACCTGACAAAGATTTTGATTGCTCTGGTACTTTTACTAATTTCAGTACTGTAAATTACTGTGTCGTACTTCGAACTCTCAACGGAGTTCTTCGGCATAATAATTGCAGTAAGAATAGTATTGTCGTCAACTCGTGCCATAGCTATAAGGACTCCTAATGTAAAGCGCAATAAATAAAGTACGACTGGATTCTTTGTCAATCTTTTCGCCGGCTGGTCACAACTCTTTTTCGTGTCAGTGTAGGTACGGTACGTTGTCGTAGTACGAGTACTGTAATTGTCGTATACGTCTCCTGTCGATTTTCTTTAAGTTCGCAAGCAACAAGGATCGGTTCAACCATCACAATGCAATAAATTCCAATACAACACATCATGGCGCCATCGACAAAATGCCGCAAAACATGGGTTCCCCTAGTCAAGATTGCCGCCTCGTCCCTTCTCGATCTATYTGGAGACTGGAAGTTTTACAAGGCAATCGGTGGAATGGATCCAAGGATTGTTGACAAATACGAAGGCCCAGCCTATACCGTCTTCTTCTTGGGGTGTATAATGAATGTGCTGCTGCTCTTTACCCTGCTATGCMGGGGGTTCGCCCCCAAAGATAGAGGGCTTGAGGGCCSCTTCGAGCTCTGCATGCAGCATCTCTACAAGCGGGTCTCTCAGCTCCTGATATTAGATATCATCCTAGAGGATGTGCCGGAGATAATCTTGACTGCCCTCGTGAAGCACGACAAGGGAAAATTGACGCCAGCTCTGATTTWCAACGCAGCAACGTGCCTTGTACATTTTGTCGTCAGTATTTCTGACATACTGGCACCGGACGACGAGGACGAGGACGAGGACGACAAGACTGCTGCGGAGGCGACTGATCCAGAGAGACAAAGACTCATTGAAACCGCTTCTGCATGATCCGACTCATGAGTGTTCACGAAACAAAACCCAACAAAGACTCTGCTGGAAAGAAAAAGTACTCTATGCACTGACCTGTGCTCCAAAAGTGATTCATACTACCCCACGACCAAAGTGGTTTTAAGACCTTTCAATTTAAATTGCTACAGTTTCMCATTACAACAGAGCAAATAACGGGTTCCAATTCTCTGGAAAGTAGACATTACGGATAGACCSAGCGACTTTTTGTGATSCATTGAATACATCTTGCTTGCCATTGCATGTTGCTCACAATAGAAATGGAACGATGGCCTTGCGACCAAGCTTGGAATAATCGTCGCGGTGGTTCTCCTCCTTCGCGCCATCGCTAATGTTTTTATCACCGTTGTTCGTCCCGCCRTTGGCAGCACAAAACGTGTCGAGGTACCATTCGTGCGTCAGGATCGCCCGCGGGACCAGGTTTGCGGCCGTCCAGACGACAAACGAAAATGCCGCCAGGGAACCACCCGACGCCACGAAAAACCCCGTCCATTCCACCAGCTCCCCGAAGTAGTGCGGCGAGCTGACCCACCGAAACAAGCCACCATAGGGTATGGCGTAGCCATGGCGGTTGTGCCTTTGTCGCCGCTTGCCCTGTTTCTGCTTGAGAGCCAGCAGGATCCGATCGGAGGTGACCGTGATACAGAATCCTCCCACCATGCAGGAAACCCCCACCCAAAATCGACAAGCCAGTAGCAACGACGAAAAACCATCATCGCCTTCGTACCTAATTGGAACGCTCGTTTGGAATCTTGTTAGGCCCCTGGCCTGGAGGTAGCCGTTCGCTGCGCAGTAGAACCARGCAATCAAGACAATGCCCAGGGGCATCCCCCTGTCTCGGATGTGGTTGGTTTTGTAGTTCATTGCTACCAGGGGGTACCAGACCGACCGATACAGGTAGTGAAAAAAGAACCATGCCAGCAAGATTTTGTTGGCCGCCGGAAGAGCAGYGTTGGTGCTGGCGTTCGCGTTGTCGTTGGAGTTTATGGCACCGCTTCGATAGGAACGGTCCAACACACAGGCTATCACCCACAGGCAGTTGGGGGATTCAAAAAATACCCACGACCACTTGGTCGGAAGGAGCGGCCCTAGCCAATGACGTGTGTGGYGTGTTTTTTGTTGGTGTTGWTCTTGTTGSTTTTGCTTTTGCTGCTGGCGTTGTTGCCTTGGATCRGTGTCTGTCGTCTCTTSCTCCCTGCTGTTGCTTACCACGGAAGGACGCATTCGTCTCCTCAGTGATGGCGATRAAGTTTCCAYAGCATTCTTCGGTGGTGGTGGAAGGGTGGTGTCACTACTATCRKAAATTGTMTTCGCTTCCGCGTTCTTGGCGACCAGGTGTTTACCATACGTAGGAGGCCGAATCCCAAGCAGTATAAAAACGACGATGGGAGACAACGAAATAACGGCCAGCGACACCCTCCTGTGTAACAGAAATTCCTCTTCGCCGCCGTCGAAATCGAGCATCGTTTCAATTAAGTTGGTTACTTGCTTTTACTTTTACTTCRTTTCGATACAAGAGGTGTGCTTGCGGTGAGTGAGAGACCTCTTAACACAACTATGTAACAACCTGATCAGAGTTAATTCATCGTCGGACGTATTTTTCATTTTTACCAATCCTACCGGTACCATTAGTAAACTGCTCTTGTATTCACAGTATTGTTGTACCAGAACGAAATCCCACTCGTKGTAATCGAAAGTTTTCACTCAGATTTCTCCACTATTTAAATTTCAACTCGGGCATTCATTCGAATGGCATGAGTAAGGGTATTGAATTACCGGTATTTTAACGTTCTGTCTCAGCTTTTTCTTCGTTGGTGCCCTCGTGGTACCCGTAACAATAAAGAGTGAGCTTATTCACTATCTACTCGTGATTTAGGCTCACAACGAGTACCGTACTCCAAGATCAAACTCAAACTCGAGAGAGGATTCTGATCCTACCGTAYATACTTGAGAATGATGCAAGAGGATAAATTTGCTACAACAAAAGATATTTCAACCAGTGTTACTRAGACTACATAGTGGTTTTCACCATAAACAAAAATGATGGTAGCTAGTAAAATGGCACTAACACTGTAGTATGGTATTGCAGCTATTTCAAGGAAAAATAGATAAATCTACAGTGTGGTTTCGGTTGTAATGATTGTATATTTGGTTGCTGTAACCGTGTAACGGAGTAATAATGCTGCCCTCTTTCTCCGAGATACGTTCCAGAGATCTCAGTAGTTGTTGCGTCGTTGATGTTGTTGTTGTTGTTGTTGTTGTTGTTTCGACTTAGTGCATTGCAAGCGGTGTTTCTCGTGACGAATGAACGGTTCCTTCAAAGTTTCAAAAGAAACCCGGTAGCGTGTACGTTGTGCTATCGCCATTGCTGCTACTGTCTGCTACACGCCCCATGTGCGGTGGTTAAATTATGCCTGAGCGACGGCTTCCGTCTCCTTGGCTTCCGCGCTGCTTCCGTTGACCGGTGCTGCCGTCTCCCCTACCCACGACTGGAATTCGGCRGGCACGGAGAGCTCGTCTCCGTTGAGGGCCTTCCAGGAGGCRGAGGCCTCCCGCAGGGACSCACTGTCGCGCTCCACCACGGTGTGAAACATGGACGTGGCGATCCAGTCCTCCAGGGAGGGGCCCTTGGCGACGCCGGCCTTGGCGGCCGCCCTCCGCTCCTCGGGCGTCATCATGTCCTCGTCCTCCGACAGGGCGTCCCAGTACTCGGGGAGCTCGATCTCSGGAGGGTTTTGCTCGTAGTAGGTCCGCACGGCCAGGGACTGCGAGAGCGTAAAGATATTGCTGGTGAACCAGTAAATGGTCAGTCCGGCCGGTACCTGAAGGGAAAAGAATCCAATGAGRAGGGGAAGAAACTTCAGGGCATTCTTGGTGGTCTCCGCCTGCTTCTTGGCCTCCTCGTCCATCGTGTCCTCATCCGGATCGGGAGGCGCAAGGGCCTCCATGGTGAGCTTCTGTCCCARAACCAAAACGACTGGCATGATGCAAAAGGCCAGCGTGGTTTCCCATCCGAGCGACGGCGTCCACAGGCCATCGACCTGGGTCCACCCCTGCGTGAGCCAGTCGAGGCCACGGTAGTCGGTCTCGGCCGTCACGGGACCCTCCAGACTGGGGATCCACAGAAAGGGCTCGTCCAGCTTTCCGTCCATCGCCAGGAGKCGAACCCCGCGGTAGAGTCCCAGGAAGATGGGAAGCTGCAGCAGCGAGAGGAAGCATCCAGAAAGGGGGTTCTGGTTGGCGTCCTGGTACAGCTTGCCGACCAGCTGGTTCTTTTTGTTTTCGTTGTCTTTGAACTTGGCGTTGATCTCGTCGACGTATGGTTTCAGGGCCTTGAGCAGCTCGGTGGACTTGGATTGCTGGAAACTCAGCGGGATCAGCAGAGATCGGACGCCTGTTGTTTTTTATTCAAGTTTTGGATTGTTTGCGTTTGAAATTTGCGTTTGGTTTTTAGTGTTGTTGCGTCGGCAGAGCAGTCGGCGTTGATGCGTCACATTTTTGGTACAGAACA